CATTAATTTTTTTTTGCATTATTACACTTTCATCTTAAATATTTCACCTATACTAACAAAAAGAGATTGTCTTCGATTCTAAATGATCTTCTAGATGATAAATATAGGTGGTTTTCTTGTATTAGACTTCTTTTTACCAACAATTTAATGGCAATGAGATAATATGCAAAATTAAATAATTGCTGCTATTTCCTCAACAATGAACCTTCAAATCGTTAATTGCTTATTATAGTTGCTGATTGTGTATTATATTGATATCTATTAGTTTTGGTGGTCTTCAATACCTGATTTGGTTGACATGAAAGATTTAAAAATAGACAAAATAAATTATCTGAAAATACATGAAATTTTGCAATAATTGTACTTAATTACAATTTTTTTACATTATTTATTACAAAATTATCTTGAAACTGATAATTCAAACAAATATAACATCCATTTTTGCTAATTAATATGTTACTAAGATGTGTAACGTAAACCAAATATTCAAATTATGAACATGAATAATTAAGTTAAAAATTATATAATTTATAGTGTACCTAAAAATCATTTTGACCAGATCGCAAAATTTAACTTCGTTTGATCGTTATTTTTGGCAATATATATATGTACAATAGCGAGAATACATAATGTCAATTCAAAGAAATACATATGAGTATGGTGAACTTGCCGACAAAGTTGTTCTTGCTTATTCGAAACATTGCCTTATTAAAGCAATTGACACCACTAAGAGGGATAGACAGCAACAATTCTCAAAGCTAGACAATAAAGATAAGAGATTCTTACTGAAGTTAATCGATGTTGCCAATTCAAATGAAAAACATAAGTCTCCATCTGAACTTGATATAGCACTTGACTCGATTGACTTGGCAAAAATTTATGAGGGTGTCGATAAAAGAGAAAACGAAAGGGAGAACAAAGATGGTTCGAATTTAATATATGAAGATTTCATAGTGTTGGAACTATTACGTTACTTCAAGCATGATTTTTTTAAATGGATCAATAAACCAGAATGTACTCGATGCAAGCAATCATCTGATAATATTATGCCCACAGGTAATTCCGGTCCTCCAAACCCTAATCCAGGTGAAATTTCAATTATAGAGAACTACAAATGTACGAAGTGTAACATTGCCGTAAGTTTTGCTAGATATAATAATCCAATTAAATTGTTGGAAACAAAGAGAGGTCGGTGTGGTGAATGGGTAAATTGCTTCATATTTATATTGCGTGCCTTGTTGGGAAGCCAATCCCAAATAAGATATGTCTGGAATAATGAGGATCATGTGTGGTGTGAGTATTACAGTCTAGGATTAAAGAGGTGGATCCATCTTGATCCGTGTGAAGGAGTATTTGATGAGCCAAATCTTTACTGTGAAAATTGGGGTAAGAAGATGAGTTGGTGTTTTGCTTTTGGCGAAACTTATATTATGGATGTAAGCGATAAATATATTACCAAATCAGATAAGCAAATTGACAAGTTAGAATCGGTGTCTAGTTTGAAAAATATAAAAGACTTTATTGATGCCTTGAATGATGATAAGTTGGTAAGATATTATTCAAGTATAGAATTAACGAATTCTAATGATAACAGGAATTTGATGAGATTGTATCAAGAAGTCATTCTTATACATAATAAAGAAATACTAAAGAAAGAAAATAAAATTGAACCATCTAAGGTCGATGAAATACCTAAGGGAAGGCAGACTGGAGACGCCAAGTGGACCAAGTCGAGAGGAGAAGATGGAAATAAATAGATAAATTGAAAGCGTAATTCATTAAATAATAAATATAGTTGTATAATGCAAAATTAAACTAGAAAATCAATCATAAACACTGTACAAATACTAGGAACTGACCAGAATTCCTTTCGAGTGCCTGAATAGTTTTAGCCCAACCCAGGAAGCACAAGACCACCACCAGAAAACCACGTAAATACACCAACAACTTAGTACATAATAATCCATGTTCTCAAAAAATTTAGTTAGTTTATGATGCTTAGGTATTGTCAGAGGTTCCAACGATAATGGATATATAACAAATGACCATATCTTAAATAAAGTATTCATTGAAATAAGAAATATTGTCCAACTTGCAAATATTATAAGGTAGCCATATGTTGCCAACGATATTCCCCTTCCACTTTCAGATACATCTACTGAGTCAGATGTATGTATAAACTCATGTCTTTCTATAAGGGGGAGGGGTTCTTTGAATTCCATAGATTTATTATTCAGTCAGGGACTAAAGACATAAACTCGGTACTAAATTTCTCACACTCAAAAAATCTATTTTTCATCTCACAGTAAAGGAAGCTTATTTGACTATGCAGTTTATTATATCTATATACTACTCAAAAGTATGCAAATTATCTATTCATTTATACTGATTTTTGAGGCTCCAAGCAACTGTGGAGCTATTTCTTGAAGCCATCCTAATTCAATAACAGAACAATTTCTTCCGTAGCCTTTTGCAGTGTAAACATATTCTATATACATAATTGCATCAAGGTTAGCTTTACCGAATAAAGTAGAAGATGGATGTATACTGATAAGCTGGCCAGTGGTACATGTTCTATATGATCTATCTGGCATACCAATGGCGGTATTAGTAATATACCCCTTCAAGAATGATTTTAAAATTGAAGGAATATCAAGAGATTGTTTGGAGACACCTGTTTCAACATCAGAATCATCATCTGAATATATTTCTGTATCAAGTTGTAATCTAATATTCCTTAATTGTTGATCTCTTTCATGCTGTTTGAGAGTATCATCTTGTCTTATTGTAGCCATCATGTAGTCCTTCAATTGATTTCTAACTCTCATCACATTTTTGAAACCCTTGTAACTGAAGTGCAATTCCTTACACCATGCTTTTGCCTCAGAAACCTTGTTGCTATCTATTAATTCCTTGTAATAATTGAAAAATTCTTTTACAGCAATTAGATCACCTTGTTTACATCCCAATGGACAGTAGTTTCTTCTTTTAAAATTAATTTCGTCTCTGAGTTCCCCATCACCACTTCCAACATTCAAAATTAAGTTATCCACAGATATACATGCGACTATATCTATTACTGAACCTAAAACACCAAAATCTAAGGCACTCAATAAAACAACAGAAAGCTGTGGAGGAAGTGGTAAAACGGACATCTTATATCCTAGTTTAGTTATCTTACCACTATCATCCAAAGCACCCAAAGAGTATAAGGTTGTTAAAGCACTTAAAATCGCTTCTTTCCCCGGATGCTCTAACCATGTCCAATTGAGTAAATCATCTACCCCGATCTTCTTCAAAGTCAATATTGGTAGTACAATATCATTTCTCATGATTTCAGACTCTTGTTGTTTTGGCAATTGATTAAAAAAAGTCTTCTCCAGATACAAACGAAAAACTTTACCTGGCGATTCTCTACCAGCTCTACCAGCTCTTTGTTTTGCAGAGGCTTGAGATATAGGTGTAGTTAATAAAGTTGATAAACCAAGCTGATGCTTCCATACCTTTACTTTTCGAAGACCTGAATCTATAACATATTTAACTCCACTAACTGTAATAGAGGTCTCCGCAATATTTGTAGCTAAAATGACTTTCCTTTTTCTTCCTGGTAGTTTCTCAAAGATTTTCAGTTGCTGTGCTGGAGACAAAGCCGCGTAAAGTGGTAATGCAACAATAAGAGGCGCTTCTTTAGGTAGCTGGGGTGCAACTTGTTGTAAAATATTCACACAACTATCAATTTCTTCCTGACCTGGTAAAAAGCATAAAATATCACCTTCCTGCTCGGACATATTAACTTGAACAATACTTCTGACCATAGTGTCTGCAATATCTTCAGACGAATCTGCCAAGTAGTGTTTGGAAACAGGATACATCTTACCCTCAACAAACAAAATTGGTGCATGATCAAAAAATTTACTAAATAGTTCAGCATTCAATGTGGCAGACATAATAATTATTTTTAGATCAGACCTCTTTTTAGAGACAATTAATTCTTTCAAGAAACCCATAATTAAATCGGTCAAAATTGTTCTTTCATGCGCCTCATCAATAATAATTGTAGAGTACTTATTAAGATTTCCGTCAAGCATAATTTCCCTTAAAAGCATACCATCAGTTAAATACTTCAATTTAGTTTTATGGGGGTGTGTAACGTTGGAAAATCTAACTTGATAACCAACTTCTTGGCCTAATCTACAACCATACTCCTCACTAACTCTTGCCGCCAAGGATGCAGCCGCAACTCTACGAGGTTGAGTAACTGCTATTTGCTTTCTATTAGTGGGCATCAAGAATTGAGGTATTTGCGTAGATTTACCAGAACCAGTTTCACCAATAATAACCGTTACTTGATTATTATTCACATATTGGAGTATTTCGTCTTTATGCTGAAATATCGGTAACCTTTGACGCACCCCGTAGAGATCAGATGCTTTTTTCGATAATTGTAAATTAGACAAGTCTTTGGATTTATAGTATGAATTATTTTCTCCATCCTCGTCGTCATCACTATCTTCATAATTCACGACTTTGGTCATCTTTTTTGGTTTCTTGGGTTCTTTAATATTTTGTTCTATCTTCTTAGGCTTAATTATATTCTCCTTTGTCTCATCGTTAAGTTTTATGTCTATTAATTTGTCTTGGTTTGTTTCGATTAACTCTGAGGAAGAAAGGTATTCAGGTACTTTGACGTTATCACCACCATGATCTTCATCGAACTTTATCTTCTTATTATTATTCCCAGTTGGGAATTCAGTAGTTTCGGTGCTGGAAGTGGCAGTTTGAGAATTTTGTGTCGTTGATTTTCCCTTATTATTTCTCTTTCTTTTTCTCTTCTTCGAAGTATTTGACGCTTCTAAAGCCTTTGAAAGGTCTGAAGGTTTATTAGACATTCTGTGGCCTCTGTAGTATGTGTTCTAGCAAGATTTTATAAGCATCTTACATGCTCTAAAAAAAAGCGATTTTTCATGTAGATGATTATCTATATGCAGTATCACCAAATGATTATAATTTATTTCAATATCACTCAAGTTTAACCCTTTCCTCTTTACTTCGAGTAGTACTGATACAATAATATGATCTCTAAACTTCTAAGTGGAAACCGTAGGTTAAGGACCCCCTTTCCTTTTTTATCTAGCTTAGCTAGCAATAAAAGATTTCAAACCACAAGGACCACAATTCCCGAAGAAGACTTACCAGAAACAGTTACCATTATTCCAACGGTTTCTGAATTAACTAATGCTGAGGACTTTTTACCTGATAAAGATGTGTCATTGGTTGGTCATTTACAAGCTCGTTATTTGGTTGAATCGATAACGAACGATTTATTATTTAAGTGGACCGAGCCATCGTCTGAAAAGAAGTTTAAGTTATACTGTGGAGCTGATCCAACCGCCGAATCTTTACATTTAGGAAACTTGTTGCCGTTAATGGTCCTACTTCATTTTAATTTGAGGGGTCATGATGTCGTAGGCTTGGTTGGTGGTGCCACTGGTGCCGTTGGTGATCCAAGTGGCCGTACGACCGAGAGAACTCATTTAGCCGAAGAGAAAAGAGTAGACAACGTAAATAAAATCCAAAATCAATTATCTAATTTTTTGAAACAAGGTGTCGAGTATGCCAAGTCAAGAAAATTTCCTATTGAAGAACAAGGACAAGTGTTTACGGAAAACAACGCCAGCTGGTGGAAATCCATCAAAATTTTAGACTTTTTATCTACATATGGGAAACATATTAGGGTATCCGCCATGTTGGGGCGTGATTCTATTCAATCTAGATTAAAGTCTGAGAATGGCTTGGGATTTAATGAATTTTCTTATCAGATATTGCAGGCATATGATTTTTGGCATTTGTTCAAAAATCATAAAGTGAACTTACAAATAGGAGGAAATGATCAATGGGGTAATATAACTGCCGGTGTTGATTTAATTTCTAGACTACAGAAAAATTTTAACAGGACTGCAAAGTCTAATGAAAAAGTTGAAGAAGAACCCTCATTTGGAATGACAGTTCCATTATTAACAACCCCAACAGGCGAGAAGTTCGGTAAATCTGCTGGTAATGCGATATTCATAAGTGAAAAGTTAACTACACCTTACCAATTATATCAGTACTTTATTAATACGCCAGATGAATTAGTTGCAAAACTCTTGAAAGTATTTACAATTTTGCCAATGTCCACGATAGAGAAAATCATTCTGAAACACAATGAGGATCCAGGGGTTAGAGCAGCGCAGAGAATTTTGGCTCGTGAGGTGACTGACTTGATTCATGGTAATGGAACGGGAGATGAAATGGCGTATGTAACAAGCTTTCTCTTTCCTACACCTGATCAGCCGTTCATTGATGATATTTCGGCAGATAAATTAATTCGAGTATTTGACAAGTCTGGTATTTTGGTAAGATTTAAATTCGATGATTTTAATATTGATGATTTAAAATTAAGCACTTTATTGGCGAAAGTTATGAAAAAATCAAAGACTGAAACCAAAAATTTGATTTCAGCTGGGGGAATTTATTTGGGACTTGATAGAAACCAACATATTGACCCAGAAGATGTGGTTTTATTTGACAGAGATCATTTAATTGATGGTAAGCTATTACTTGTGAGAGCCGGAAAACAAAACTATTACGTTGTCGAATTCAGCTGATCTACATGACAAATATCATTAAATACCTTGTAAATATTAACTATACTAGAAGCCGTTATTTAATTTAATAACACATTAATTCATTATATTTTGCAGTATTAGCCTTGTATTTACTAAGCTGATCAGCTTTAATGGCCTTCTTTTGAACAGCTCCAGGAATATATGTTTCCAAGATCAATGCTCTTTTTTCTTCAATCAAATCTTTTATAGTTTCGATTCCAAGCGTAGAAGTTTTGGGTACTTCAGAATAACTTACACCCAACTTAAGCAAATTATCTAGCACAGTCAACTCTAGTGAATAATTTTTAAGCTCTAGGTCTAGGGCCCTATAACAGTCAGATTCCGTTTCATAAACATATCCCCATTTATGGAACCAATCCTTTTGAGAATCGTCTTTAAGAATGGTATCTTCATGAAAATCTACATGTGATCGATCGCCATTTAATATGATAGATTTAATCTCTTCTGAAGTTAGATATTCAAAAAATTCGTTTGCAGCATTCTTTCTTATTTTGATTGGGATATTACAGTATGAATCCCACGACTCATGGCTGCTGAACTTTGTCACTGGCTTCTTTGTAGGGTAAATCATTTGAGAATTACCTGTCTTATCATTCTTTAAAAACAATAGGAAAAACTGCCTTTTAATCTGAGTTGAAATCGAACCAAAGCTAATAAAATAATAGGGACCTGTTTGGTATCTCACTATGTTTGGTATTAATTTATCTCGCATCTTTAAATCATATGCAATTTTTATCCATTGAGCATTTTCCACTTCCTTTGAATGTGTGTATAGAAAAGGTAACCTTTCTAGAACTAGAGCGATAAACTCAGTTCTATTAAGGTGTAGTTCCTCTTTCGATTTTTTCTCCATTTTCGTTCGCTTGTAATTCTTTATTATTTTGAGAAAATAATCATAGCAAGATATTGCAACATTTAAAATAGAATTTAAAATTGTTTGAATTGAATAAGTGGAATCATTGTTGTATTTAGAAGAAATGTTTTCTGTAATTGGGTAGCAAGATTTACTGAAATGTGCTGACCTGGAACGGGAATTTTCAGACATATCTTTCTCACTCAGTTTAGTTATATGTCCCATAATAGCTCGATCTTGAGTAAGAATATAATGAAAGTATCATAAATAAGATTTTAAATAGAAAAGTGATATCTTTCTGGATTTATTTTGAATATGGCGAATACAGGGATAAATACTAATAAGTATTAATAGGCTGCAAAATTGTGTATGCGCAGACCAAATTTTTTCGGGAGCAAAATATGGTTACGTCATTTACGTATGCGAAGTATGATATCTATTAGAATAACTAAAAATTATGCTTTCAATACGTCAGTAACAGCTTCAATAACTTTCTTGAAAACTGATTTATTACCTGCAACTACACCTTGAGAATTCAAGTGCCTTCCGTTACCGAAATTTAACTCATTACCATGAATATCTCCTACAAGCCCACCACTTTCATAGACTAAGATATTTCCAGCAGCATGGTCCCAAATCTTTTCACGATAAGTATCACTAATCGGTAAACGTAAATATATATCGGCTTGTCCTTTTGCCAATACACAGTACTTGACCTGTGAATCTAAGTTGATAGTTTGCTTTGAAACTGTTTCAGTGCTAAAGCCTAATTTATCTTTTATCTGGGATTGGGTAGAGTGAGAAGAATGACCCTTTTCCACTCCTTCAACAACCTTTAATGACTCAGGGGAGGTATGTTGAGTCATTTGAATTCTTTCTTGCTTTGATAACGGGGTGAAATCTTGTTTATCAAATAAACTTGAATAGAAAGAACCCACACCTCTGACAGCAGAGAATAAACCTCCTTTAGCACCGCTCATTTCTTCATTAGAAATTACAGTGGCTGGTAAATTTGGACACCCAATAACTCCTAACACGACTTTTCCATCCTCAATCAACGCTAAACAAACAGCAAACTGGTCACCTCTTAAAAACCCTTTAGTACCATCAATTGGATCCAATGCCCAAAACCGGCCCTTTGATCCACCTTGGGAATTACCCAAGTCAATGCTATCATAAATTTCAGTTTCCTTTTCGAGCTTTCCTAATCTATCATTATATTGGCTTGTTTGGGATTGCACATCAGAAATAATCTCTAAAACTTTGGCACTTAAATCTTTTCCTTCTGCATCATCTTTTCTTAATACTTCTGCATCTTCCTCACCTACAATTTCGTCTTCTGGAAAGTTAAGCTTGATCGCATGGTTGATAATAGCCTGCGATGCATAGTCACCAATAGTGACAGGGGACTTATCATCTTTCGTGTGAGTTCCAGACTTTTGAGTAGTAGCAATAGAGTCACTCAATTTCTTAGTCAAAATTGAAGTTCTTATAACTGCTATGGATGCAATCTCCAATTCCTTGTAATATGGATGATCAGATGGTACTGTAGACATTGTTGCTTTGAAGTATAAGTTAGTAATCTTTAAAGGATTCGATTTCAGAATAATACTGGTCCACGATGGTACTCTCTTACAATTGCTTATGAATATAGACAACAATACAGCTAATAGTGAGAAGTATACTGCAAAAGGAAAGTATTTCATTAGCCTTAACATCAAGATTAATGCCAGGAACGCTTTGCTTCTTATAATTGTGTGCGATCACGTGATTACTTTCACTACAAGCACCCACCGATAATCTATGTAATACCAAGTTTATTACAAAGTATGGCCACTACTATTTAGGTAAGTCTTATATCTAGAGCAATGGATGTAGGTCTTATTTAAAGTTTTATATTTAGATTGGAGTCAAAATTGGCAGTTGAACAAAATACCCCTCTAAACGGTACGATATCCTCTTACAAGAGGTAGAATTCGTATTTATACCCTTCTTTTCAGGACATCATAAAACCTCCATCATCCAAACTAGAGCTGAGTATAACATTGCCTGTTAGAACTATCTTAACATACTGGATTACGTGAATGCCTTGCAATGCATAAGGGCTTACTACTACTAGATTTGTTTGTACTGGTATGTCTTATGATACAGCTTTTGCCTGTCATATCAGTACCGATTACTGGTAAAGAAATTGGATATAATCTACATTTGTCGAAGTATGGAAATTATACCTTTGGGGTGTTTGGTCTATGTACGTCAAACAACATATGCTCAAGACCTAAGATAGGGTACCCCTCGGAAACTGACGAATTTTATTCGTTTATGGATGATGATCAAGGTGAATATCCAGATTTTGCTGCAGCAGAGCTTCCTTCTAAAGCAAGGTATGCCATTTCTAAATTATTGGTTGTTCATCTAGTGGGATTTTGCTTTACTGGAATACTATTCTTAGTGACTTCAGCATTAACCGTGATATTGTGGCTTGAAGAATCTGAAACGAAAGTGCCTTTTAAAGATGTAGTAAGAAAAAAAGTAAAAATACGACAGAACAGCAGAAACAATAGTTCTACAGACCTTACCGAAACTACATCAGCAACGAAAATGGATTCATTATCAGATAAAGGAACGTTAAATTCTGAACGCAAAACTAAGGATATAACACCGTATTTGAATTTGATGCTTATGCTATCGCTTTTATCATTCCTACTGACTTTGTTAGCATTTTTGTCAGATATGTTGTTGTTTATACCACACTTGAGTTATCTAGGTTGGCTTCAGTTATGTCCAATAATTCTATTATCTACTGTGACTTCAATGCTATGCTTTATTAAGAGATCAATTTCCTCAAGAAAATATCTAACAGATGAATATGGATATGAAAATGATGATATGAGAAAGCGTGTAAATGTCGGAGTACTCAACTGGAAAGATACGGATAGTGATGATGGGTTCTATGTTTACACGAACGGTTTTTACAGTAATTACAATAACGATGATAATCATCAAGAAGGGCAAAGTCATGCTCCTGAATTATTTCCGGCCAATAATAGTACACATGGTTGGATACGGCACTCAGGCTATAATGAAAATGGAGATGATGTTTCAATAAGTTCTAGCAGGGATGATAGTTATAATGAGCATGAGAACATACAAATGAGGTTACTTAGTGACCATGGGCATGATTCTTAATAGCAAATAATTTTCAATTCGTAATAATATTACTATTAAATTAGTTATTTGGGTAATTTATATTTACAGTATTAATAAATGGCTACTTATATATATATATACATATAGTACTGAGAAGTAGGATCAAACTTTAAGAGCTTGGATTTGTTCCATATTAGATCCGTGGTTCAATTTGGAGTATAATTCCTCACATAAAGTTAATGTTGCGTCTGCAAATTTGATATCATTATCAGTAACCAAGAATCTGATTAGTTGCGATAATTGTAATGACTTTAATTTGACTGGGTCATCATTCTTAGTTTGAATACTTTGTATCTTTTTGATAACCTCTTGGGAATATTTTGATAATAAATATTTTCCTTTAGCGTTCAATAATACTAGCCTCAAAAACTTCTCTAAATCATGCATGTTAGAAACAGCATTCTTTAGCAATATGTTAAATGAAATGCTGCTTAAACCTTCATGAAAAAATGCCGGCTTTAAGTTTGATAAATCTCTTAAGATGATTTCCTTACGTATGTTCTCATTTGGTATCTCATTACTCAAAAATTTTTCATATCCTGCTAAGAAAGAATTAAAAGTTTCTTTAGAAGGAGATATCTTATAACTTTGAACCAATGTAGACAATATTTCATTAGCCCTGGGGATGTTTGATGTCATCGTATATAAATAAGATAATTTATCTAAATATATTGGATTCAACTCAGAGGTGATTGTTGGATATATTTGAAATATGGTGTTATCCATAAATTTGGTAAAGGAATTGAGTTTCATTTGTATAGTTGACAATTTTGAGTCATGCAAATTATTAATGAGTAAAACAAGAAATTGTTTTAGGCTTTCAAGCGTGAAGAGTTGTATGTTTTCTTCAATGAAAGATAGAAATATATCAAAGTTTTCGACATTTTGTTTAACTTCGTCAGAATTCAATAAATATGACGAGACTGCTTCAAAAGTAATCACTGGAGAAAGTTCAGACTGGGTTGAAGCTCCTGTAACTTTCTTTTCACTATTTTCAAACGCTCTTAGGTACTTAAAAAGTTTTTTCAAGTTATCTGATATAAGTAGGTTATTTTCTCCAGTAATTTCTTTGTAATTCTGCAATCCTTTTGATATTTGTTCCGTAAGATTTTTATTTTCATAGTTCAACGATAAATCTTGTTCTGGTAAATTAGATAGATCATGAATCTGGTCATTAAAAACTTCTGCCCATTTGCATGATGTAGCTGTAAATTGTAACATGATTGGTTCAGACGTCTTCGATGGGTCTTTAAAGACAAGCTTGTAAGTTGAATCGCCTAAAAGAGGTGAATCTTTCGCCAAACTCGTCAAGAAAATGTCCTTGAAATCAAGTTTCATAATTAAATCTGCAACGTTTTCCGGACTACAAATTTCATGGTGATATTTCTGTAAGTGATCATAGCTTGGCCTTTTTGGTATGGCTGCTTTATTTTGTTGTGGTGTTAATTTTTCACTTTCGAATTGATATTTTTCTTCATTGGGGATAAACAGGAAAGGCGTTCTAGTAGTGTAACTTCTTATTGGAGATCTAGTATTAATGAATTTCAGCAGATTTCTATACATATTTACTTAGGCTGTAATAGATACTTGCAGTAAAGCTACTGTAGTATTAGCTTTAAACACGAAGATTGAAAAAAAAACCGGACCGATTATGTAACGAATTACGAATTTTTAGATATGGATCAGAAGTTTCATATATGTTTAATACCTATTACTGGTATTCATATTATAACCAATATGAGTCCTAAAGAATTGTATTTAATGAAACCCACCGAAAATATATTCTTTCTTTTAAGTATATTTTAAATAAAAATTATATGTTCCTTGTCAATATAAGTTGGTTTATTACTTTGTTTGCAGCTTGTGCAACATCTACAATGCTTAGCGAGAAGAACAATATAGCAGAAATGTTGCAAGAATCCACCTACCTGGAAAGTGAAATGATAAGCAGTATTATGTCCCGACATTTAGAATCGTTTTCAATGACACAATCCGATTTTGAAGACATGGTATTTATGAAACCCAGATCAAAATGCGTTAAAGAAGCATTAAAAGATATCATTCCAGAATGTATGAGATTGGGGGTAGATTCAATCGAACCAGGATTACAAAAAAAAGCTGCTATTCAGTTGTCTATTTGCGAGTTTGAAAACTCTAAAGTTGTCTATCCAAATTCGTGCTATAATATGATCAGTGAAAATGATTTTGATAGCTGCATATTTGACATAGAGAGAGCACCCCAGTATTGGACAACCTTTAGTGGATACTACAGAGAAATTACTAAAATTTGCTATGAAGAGTCTTTACCTTTTGAAAAGGAGCAAATAATCTTGTTATATTCTAACATCACAAAGTTATATAGTAAAATGTTTCAAGACCTAAACGATTCATATAGAGATTCTAGCCACATACAACAAACGATGAAAAAAGAATTTAAGGAATTACAGCATACGATAAAGGTTATTTTGGACCAAAATGAAAAAATGAGCGAAGAAATGAAAGAAAAGTATGAAGAGTTTTCTGAGCAATATAGTACAATGTTGCTGACTTCTCTAGAAATTTCTAAAAATTTTTCATTAGGTAGCGAGAGTATTGTTGAGGATATGGCAAACAGCATTAAGTATTTGGACCTAGAGATAGCAAGAGTTTCCTTTGCATTTGAAGACTCGGATTTTGAGGCAAAATTAACAGACTTGAAAAATTCAGCACTAGATGATGTTCGAAATTTATCGGACGAATCTATATCAGTTTTGGATAGTATACTTACAAATTTAGAGTCGTTAGATGTTCTAGCTCAAGGTACTCAAAACATCACAAGTGGTATATCACAATCTTTGAGAGAAAATGAAGTATTAACGAAGAAAATGCAAAATCTGCTAAAAGAGACAGATACGCAGGTTCATGAGCATAACGATGTGATCAAATTTGAGTTTGAAGAAACTATCTCTTATCTTGCTCAATTCAGTGAACAAGCAATAGACAGTGCTATCAGAGATACAGGTGAAGAGATTTCTAAACACGTAGCCACCTTTATCGATAATATCAATTTAAGGCTCGAGGAAACTACCACCAAACTTGAAGAGGTAATTGAAAATATTGATGACCTCTCAGATAAAGTTGGTAATGCTTCATCTTATTTAGTAGAAGGTTTGAATCTTCTAACAAGCAATGGGATTATGGATGTATTATTATTGACATATAACAGTGTAGCATCTGGGTTGGAAGGTGGTTTCGGAATGCTTACTACGCTCAAATCTGACATAATAAAAATAGCACGTTTTATAACGGTAAGTGTATTATTTGCTGCATTATTTATTTGGAGTATGAATAAAATATTTTTTGGGAACCAAATGAAGCATTCGACATTATCACTGATAAGACCCATGGGAACTCCATACTTCAGTCGTATTTTTAGATTCTTAACTAATTTAGCTCTATGGCTATCTGTTATGGGTGGAACATTATTAGCTGTGCTTGTAACAAATTTTTTAATACAGTTAAAGATTTATATTTCTAAGTTATCTATTAATGATTAGATCCACAATTTATATATCTTGTAATTTAGGGAGTGTATTTTTTTTCGCAATTATTATTGGTATGCTTTTTTTGTAGAATTATTTCCGAATTCGGGATGGTTCCAAATTTTCAGCAAAACGTAAAAATCCTGGCATACAAAAATTAAATTAATAGTTATATAAAGTTGAAAAGAAAATGAAAACGTATACGCTTTTAGTTTCCAAAAAAAGATGATAATGAATTTCTTCCCTAAAAGTAATGAATATGGCATATCTTGCGGGTACGGTAAAATGGAAGAAGGATTGGAAATTCAACAAATATCATGGAATTCTTGTGATACAGTATTAGTCAATTCACATGAAGAAGAAATAAATAAGGATAAAAGCTTAGTTGAAATAGACAAAGGAGTGAACTTATCTGACATAATTTCATTAATAGATCCTTACAGAACAAGCTGCAATACAGAAGTATTCGATAATCTTCTAGTGTGCGGAGAAGTACAATACGATCGTACTATTAATGATTTGAATTCAAATAAAAATATCACCGTTTCTACAAAATCTAAAAATAAGGAGGTTCCAACCATCACCATCTCACCACCTAGCCAAGAATATAGAAATATTACTTATTTTGAACCTCGATCAGAGGATAAATTATACCTAAGAGTACCATCAAAACCCTTTAAAGGAGACTATTACGGTGCTAAGTTTTGGATAAAATGTAATAATATGATTTATAATAGTCATTTGTTGTGTCAATCAAAGGATTTAGTTACGCCAAACGAAAATATTATTCAATTATTGCAGGAAGAAGAATTGAAAGTTTGCAATATCAAGCGTGTCCACTACACGAGAGGCGTCAATAGCCCATTCACCGAACTATATTCAAAATTCTGCTACAAACATAACAAGAAGTTTAATAAGAACTTGCCTTATAGGACTGAGTTTTTAAGGTATTCACAAGATCAGAGGGGTGAAATTAATTTATATTCAAAATGCGGTCTCTGTCCTTATTGTCCATGTATAGTGTTTAAGAATATGGAAACCATTGAATATTATGATCATTTATCTCTAATTCATGGAATCACCAAAGACAATCTGCTAATTCCTAATCCACGATTCTTCGGGCTTTATAAATTCATCAAAGATGGTACCGTTTACCACCATCAAGGAGTTACATGCACACTTTGTGGCGATGTTCTTAAAATAAATAAGTCTAAATTATTATACAATTACATGAAACATTACAGGGATGTACATACCTGAATTTGGTAGGAATGGTATCGTGGGAAAAATTGGCTTACAAATAATTTTGCAATCATAAATTGATTATATAAGCATGCGAATTTAAGTGATCAAATCTTATCAGTGGATAAGATGCTAAAGATGCATTAAGATTAGTTGCTAGTCAAGCACAATGTATCGGAAAATATGAAGTTCAAACAATTCATGAAATTGTCATTTATCATATGGCTTCAAATCTTATGGTATTTAAATTTGGTTCTTGGGAGTTCTCAAATATACTTAGCTGATGGTTCACCTGTTCCGGAACCAATCGATCATGAAATATATTCAAACTTATTCACATATGCACATTTAATTGATATTTCATATTGTATTTCTCAAGGGAAAAAGATATCTAAACCATTCAATTGTGATCTAAATTGCTCAAATCGTTTCCCTAATATGACATTGGTACACCAATGGTGCTTTGCGGATTCCGTTTGTGGTTATATTTCAACTACTAACAGAAATATATTTTTCAACAACGATACAGATATCGAAGATAATCCAAGGAAAAGTATTATAATTTCAATAAGAGGAACACGGTCAATTTTCGATACCTATACGGATTTAAAAGCGAAAATGGTTAAATACTCCCAAATGGGCACTAGCTTACCAAGGTGTGGAAATGACTGTAAAGTTCATCAAGGCTTTTACGAATATTTTCAATTTACATTAAACAGTATTCATGAGTATCTTGAGAATGAGTTGAATCAAAATGAAGACTACGAACTTATTTTCTTGGGTCATTCTATGGGTGGGTCAATAAGTTTGTTACTAGCATTGCATTATTTAGATCTAGGGTATGACCGATTAACCTTGGTCACCATGGGCCAACCGTTGGTTGGTAATGAAAATTTTGTACATTGGGTAGATAATGTAACAGGAAGTTCTGTTAAACCACATCATAATTCTTTTAAACGAAAATACTTGAGGATTATTCACCGGAACGATATTATTACAACAATTCCTAGGAGTAAGAATTTCTTCGAAACTTATTATCAATTCGATAATCAAATATACTTGAACTGTTCTTCTGGGAATGTTCCTACTCCAGATCAAGTAATTGATTGCGCAAATGGTAATAATTTGCATTGCATTAAAGGCGATTTCATTAATAATATTAATCGCAACTACTATGAGATCCACAATACGTACTTTCGAAAATTAGGTTTATGTGGTATTAAAATTTGACTTTATAGTAATATATAATTATGCTCTAGTGAATGCAAATTTAGGTTGATCATCGTCATCATCAAGATCTTCATCATCATCATCATCGTCATGAACAGGGGCATTACGAACTTCACTCTTATGTCGCATATAGCCTGATGTACTAGCAGTAGGATTATATTCTGTTTGTGTATCATCTTCTGGAACGAAAAGGGTAGATTCACGTATAGGTTTAATTGAAGTTTGAAATGAGAAACTATCTACATCATTATCATTATCTTCCTCTAGACTGATAGAATAAGGTTTATACCCATTGACTTCACTCATAACCCCGCCAATATCATCCATCAACTTCAGTTGTCTCTGTGTGTTTTCTTTGCCTTTATTACTTTCAATAAATACATTACTTATTCCATCACCAACTAGAACCGGCTGCATGTCAATAAGACATCTTTTATCATTTTCCAACGGTTTATTTTTTCTGAAAGTTTTAAAGTTCTTCCTTTCTTTGTATGACGTATTGCGTGTTTCAATCGGAACAAGTTCCCTTCTCCTTCTTGAAACATTAAATGTTTCTACAATAGCCAAATTTTTCAAATTTTCATTTAAGCCATCGTTTTCTTTCTCATCTATACCCAATTCTTCACGAGCATTTTCTTTGGCTCGTTCCTTGGTAGATTTTATTGCATCAAGAAGTGAAATCTGTGGTACGAATTTTCCAATCTTCTTTTCTTCTTTTTTCTTTTTCAATCTTGGCCCTTCTTCCGTATAACTATCTACTTGCCTTTTGAGAGAGACATTACTTTCATCATTATTTTTATTAGGTAATTCGTTTATAGATACATCTGTATGAACAACTGGTGAACCGCTGTTGTTTAGAACAGTATTTCTGTTATCAGATGAAGCTGAAATCGAAGCACTTATCATGCTGTTGTGCATCGGCTTATCTTCGATTACAATTTTATCAACAGCCTCATCAAGGAACAGACTTTCAGTCTTAATGGGTGGTTTAAAGTCAAAAAAATCTGTTATTCCAACTTTCTTGAATTTTCTTCTTTTTCTTTGAGGTTGAGAGTATACTATTTCCGCTGAGGTAGATCGTTTTAATTCCCTGTCAAGATTCAAACTTAGCAAATTACTAGTAGAAATATTTACAACACTTTCATATAACATTGCTTCTGTAATAATCTTTCCAGAATTTACATGTGCAAAATCACTTAATGCTTCTTCTATTTGATTATAATTCTTGATTTTATAATCGCTAAATTCCATCAAAAAGCATTTATCGCATTCAGCTTCTTTCACTTTTGTTTTAATGATGGATAACAAGTTTTCGTCAATTTTACTTTCACTATAATACGCTGATATATCGACTTTAAAAACTTTGCCTCCAAGTGAACCTATCCATTTGGATAGTTTATCTTTCGTATCATGAAATATAACAAACATCGAGCTTTTTAGCAATGTTGTTCTTTCCTTATTTGGGATTAAATATCGATTATCTTTCGTAGAATAGGGTAAAAATACACTTGGATCAAGTTCTAAGAACCATCTTTCAAAACTTTCCTTATTTTCTATTATAAAGTCTGTCCAGTCAGTATTCAATATTGGTATTCCTCTCAGTAATGAAATTTTAAGCCCATAGCTTAGATGATCAGAGAGTGTGAGGTAATGACTAGCAGAAAAGGGGTTCTTTGCGATACGTAAGTCGATCCCATTATCAAATAATTTGAGTAATTCATCAGTAAGAGGGTTGGAATCCAAATTACCACCTACCATAATTTGCTTTGTATATCTACATATGTTCAAGGGAATCCATTCAATCGTAATCTTCATAGCATTTTCTTCTTTAAATGTTATGGTGTTAAGATCTTTATGTGTATAATCTTTTACAAATGGTGGTTCATCTTTTCGAAGCTTAACCTTCTCACCATTGATTCTGGTGATAGCTCTAGATTGAATTTTCACCAACAACGGAGTCTTTAAACCACATTCATAAATACAATTCTTATCTATCAGCTTGGTTTCAATCTGCAAATGCTCTTTAGAAATGTAAATTTGATTAAAGTAAACGAAATTTGATGATTCTACTTTTTCTGAAGATCTACCTAATTGATACACGTTATCTGGTTTTAGCCATTTTTTATAACCTTGAAAAATTGTTAGCCAATGCAAAAGACTATTGAATAGAAGCTAATACATACTAGTTTGATTGTCGGTATAGGTGAAAATCCACATAAGTAGTTTAAAGAGTGGAAGAACTCTTGTATGGCGTAAATCCGCTTATACAAAATCTATGAGATTTCTTATACACAAAAAGATATAAAAATGATTATTATAAAACGATGTTAAATGACTACTTTAAACTAATATATATATTATTTAGAGATGCTCTTGGTGTTCTTCTTAGGCTTTGTGACCTTATTTAACTTTTGTTGTTCTTGCTGTTGTTGTTTTCTTAATTTCTTACCAATAATCTTTGCAACTTCATCCGCATCACCCAATTCCAATAAACCTTTTTCAAAAGTAGATAACTTGACTTCTTGTTCATCATCTGCCTTCTTAGAAGGTTTAGCATTATTTTCTAAGACATCTTCATCGCTATATAATTTTTCAGCGTAATATAATGGTAATGAAGGGGACAAATCTGTCTTGATCATTACACTTCTCAAAGAATCCTTTTCAAAGTGAGATAAAACATCTTCCAAATTCTGTACTAACTGATTTGGCTTGAAATCGTCGGATATAGATCCAATCTTAATTGAAATATTGACACCAACTGGCGGTAAGAAAAATGTGCTACTTAAACACTTGTTTAACTGGTTTCCAATGGTTGTGATTGAGAATTCTTTATTGTTAGTTGTAGATGTTACTCTGATAGGTAATGGGATCTTGCTGTTACCGTTACCGTAGAATACCTTTCCAAGTAAGGTAGGCATTGAGTTTAATAATGCATCGTCAACAAGGAATAAATCATATTCAGAATATAATTGACGACGCTTTTCATAATGCTTGTATTCAGTTTTTAAGGCGCTCAATGGAATGATTTGTTGTAAAGTAGGTAAGTTTGCATTTTCAATAGTCTCCAATTGTTCAGAGTCAGTGATTAATTGATCACGAATAATTAAACAGGTCTTCAAGCTTTTCAACTCAGGATTGTAAAGAGCATTGCTTAATTTAATCAACTTAGGCTTAAAGTTTGGTTTGGTGGAATAATATTTCTTGGTGGTGATTTGTAAAAATAAATTTTTAGTTTCCTCATCGTTATCAAATAAGAGGGTTTTGTCTGATTGTTCTTTTTCAGCTTCACGGGATAAGAATTTGCTTAATTCACTTATGGCCTTATCAGCAACCTTCTTAGATACTATTGAATCATGTACCTCTTCATTTTGTAATTGCTTTACCTTAGATTTTTCATTTGATTTAGTCTTTGGTATATTTTTACTCTTTTTAATAGAAGGTGAAGCAGCTGGAGAAGCAGCAGCAGCACCGTTCTTTTTGGATTTTGTTGGAGTAGGTACTCTAGGAGAAGCAATACCCTTAGATCTAGTTCTAGCCATTATTGATATGCAAATAAGTTATAGACTAACGTTATAAAAATTGATTTGTTCCTATATATTTCTATCTCATCTCTGTAAAGTATTTTTCGCATAGTCAAAAATTTTTCTAGATGTAATTATATACACACCTTGTCATAAACCATCACATTTGCGACATCATTTATGACATGATCTGGAACAGACCATTTGAATTGGATAGCTAGTGTATTAATGGTATTGTAGAGCCTATTCTAAAGGGGGAGGGATTGAAGTCTTTGCAATCGGTTTTTTCGGCGCATAATTGGGTTTGTTCTTGTTATTCACAGTATCTAGTACTATTGCAGGAACCCCATTATCTATATCTTCGAATAGTACTTCTGGTTCTGTTTTCATGTCTCTAACTTCATATTCATTTTCTTCTATCTCTTCATCTTGATATTTACGGACATCTGAGCTTTGAAGTCCTCCTAACCTTTCCCAAAGAAGATGTGACAAGTCCTGGGGCGAGTAGACCGATTTAGCATTAGGTCCCTCTTCAACTTGATCCCAATGGTCCCATTCGGCTGGCGGTGAAAGTGGGGGCGAAATGAGAAATCTTCTACTACCATCTTCCAGGGGAAGTTCCAAGTAGTCTTTTGAGTCCACTTTGCTGGCAAATAAATCAGCATCTGAACCCAGAATGCTCCAGTGGTTATCTCTTATACTGTAAGTTATCCCTAAGTGTTTCCAATCACTAGATTGTCTAAGTGACTGATACACTTCTTGTGAATTTTCCGTTATATCACATATTACCAAAATCCTGCCAAATTTAGGTAGAGCGACTAACTCAATGGTATAGCCATTTTTAGACAAATATTCGACCAAAGGACTAGGATCCTCTAGTATACCAGAAGCTACGTTCGTCAATATCAACGTATTAGTAGGATTCCGTATTGCCATAGTTGCTGTAGAAAAATGATTTAGTGCTGTTGTTTGCATTTAACAGCGGTTTAAATTGCCACGCGGAAGGCTTTGCGTTTAGTTATCTTTCACAGTAAATCACTTCTACTATAATGTCTTGCGAAGATGAACATCATAATCATGGAAGTGGATCAGGGCATGGCCATCTGCATATTGCACCTATTCCAACCAACGAATCCCAATCGCTTTTAAGCAAAATTGATATACCCCATGTAACTGCATTAAATTTGGCTAATCCACCAGAAGATCTACAAAAGATCTTTAGATCGAAGGAGGACAAATATAAACTTAAGCCTATCATCAAGACAGATTGTGACCCCCAAATTATTATCAATATCCCGTTTTTGAACGGTTCAGTCAAGCTCTTTTCTTTAATATTACGAACTAACGGTGATAAGTTCTGCCCCAAAACAATAAAACTCTGGAAAAACGATAAGACAATTGACTTCGACAATGTCCAATCCAAAAAGCCTACCTATACAATTACGCATCCTCAGGTTGGTGTGATGCTTAATGATGATGAAGATGTCCCAGATGTGTTAGAGGACGATGGTGATTTTGTAGAACATTATTTACCTCGCCATATATTCACTGGTGTCCAGCAATTGACTTTGTTTATCGATGATATCTACGATGACGACGAGGACGAGTCCCATTTGCATTATCTTGAATTACGAGGTGAGTTTACCGAATTGACTAAGGATCCAGTGATTACGCTTTACGAACTGGCAGCTAACCCTACTGACCACAAGAACCTCACTGCTACAGAGGCCACTAACTATTCCTTAGGCAATTGAGTCAATATACGCTTATTTGTTGTTGTTTAATATCTTAGATGTAATTATCGTATTGATCGTGCAAAAGTGTGGAAGGCTCAGAGAAGTCCGAACAACCGAAATTTCGTTGATGTTCCCGGGTGAGAAATTGACGAGTATATAAAGACACAGTTTGCTGTAAATTTCACACTCACAGATTATATATCCTATAGATACATACAATATACTAATAGCAAAATGGCTAAATTAATTTTAATTAGACACGGACAATCCACTTGGAACGAAAAGAACTTATTTACCGGTTGGGTTGATTGTCCTTTATCCGAAGTTGGTGAAAAAGAAGCTGCTAAAGCTGGTGAATTGATAAAGGAAGCCAACTTAAAGGGTGATATTTTATACACCTCTAAGTTATCTAGAGCCATTCAAACTGCCAACATTGCTTTGACCTCTGCCGGTCAATTGTACCTTCCAGTCAAGAGATCGTGGAGATTAAACGAAAGACACTACGGTGCTTTACAAGGTAAGGACAAGGCTGCTACCTTAGAACAATACGGTCAAGAAAAGTTCCAAACTTGGAGAAGATCATTCGATGTTCCACCACCAGTCATTGAAGATGACTCCGAATTTTCTCAAGCTGGTGATGAACGTTACAGAGACGTTGACCCATCTGTGTTACCAAAGACCGAATCTTTGAAATTGGTTATCGACAGATTGTTGCCATACTGGCAAGACGAAATCTCTAGGGACTTATTGGAAGGTAAGACTGTTATTGTCACTGCCCACGGTAACTCCTTAAGAGCATTGGTCAAGCACTTAGACAAGATTTCCGACGACGATATCGCCGGTTTAAACATTCCAACCGGTATTCCATTAGTCTATGAATTAGACGAAAAGTTACAGCCAACCAAGCCAGCTTACTACTTAGACCCAGAAGCTGCTGCTGCCGGTGCCGCTGCTGTTGCCGCCCAAGGTTCAAAGAAATAAGTTTTATAGCAACTTTAATTGGACATTACATTATTTATCTACCTACAATGCCAGCCTTGTAATTCGTACCTTGTAGACCTTTATTCATAGCACAGAAAGTACAATTTTGGCCTCTAATGAAAAGTTACACAAAAGTGATAAAAATCAAAGGACCATCGTTTTGTAAAAATTAAGCATCAATAAACATACTTGGTATAACACTCTATAGCGACATATAGTAATTGGAAATAGTAACCGGGGATCTTTATACCAAAATAAAGTCATCTAGCATTATCTTTTATACGAAACTGTCCAATTATCGATATGTCAGGGTTTAGCTTTGGAAATAATAGTAATACCAACGCAGGATCATTTTCGTTTGGTGGTAACAATAATCAACAAAATACTGGGTTTGGATCGTCAAATACTGGAGCATCAGGTTTTTCATTTGGATCAAACCAAAACAACAATACTAGTGGCAATGCTAATGAAGCGTCAAAGCCGCTATTTGGGTCAACTTCCACGTCCAATACTGGCGCACCAACATTCTCGTTGAATAATAATAACAACAGCGCTTCCGGTTTAGGATCCAATACCAATGCATCCTCTAGTCCTTTTGGTGCTCCTAAACAATTGGAAGGGGGACTCTTTGGTAATAAAACACCGACATCCAATTCATCGAACTTGTTTGGCAAGAACGACAATCAGACTAGCAATACATTCGGGTCAAATAATGGCGGTCAGTCTGCGTTTGGCTCTAGCAATTCGTCTACCCCAGCTCCAGCATTCAATTTAGGTGCATCAAAGCCAGAAGATAAACAAAGCGAGAAGCCATCGGGCGGATTATTTGGTGCTTCAGGTGATTCAAAACCAGCATCTGGTGGTCTTTTCGGTTCCAATGACAACAAACCGGCTACAGGTGGCTTATTTGGATCTAATGGAACACAATCCTCGTCTGGTGGATTATTCGGTACCAATAAGGATGAAAGTAGTGCATCTGCTACACCTAAACCAGCAACTGGAGGTTTATTTGGTTCCAGTGAATCAAAACCAGCTTCTGGTGGATTATTTGGAGCAAAAAATGACAATAATGCCGCTAACAATTCTAATGCTGGTGGACTTTTTGGTAGTAAACCTGCGAGTGGTTTTTCGTTCGGAGCAAAGAAAGATGGTGAAAGTAAAGAAACTCCCCCCTCTACTGGACTTTCTTTTGGCGCTAAAAAAGATGACAAGCCATCAACAGGATTCTCATTTGGTGCTGCTAAAGACGGAGAGAAGAAAGACGAACAACCTGTTTCAGGATTCTCGCTTGGTGCTAAGAACGATGAAAATAAAAAAGATGAAAACGCTACAAGCGCCTTCACCTTCGGAGCACAAAAGAATGATGACAAGAAAGATGATAAGCCATCAGCAGGATTTTCTTTCGGTACTAAGAAGGATGACGAAAAGAAAGATGACAAGCCTTCTTTAGGATTGTTTGGAGCCAAGAAAGATGAAGGAAAACCTGCTTCAGGCTTTTCGTTCGGTTCTAAGACGGATGAGACTAAAAAGGACGACAAACCTGCTTTAGGATTTTCATTTGGTGCCAAGAAGGAAGAAGACAAAAAAGAAGATAAACCTTCTTCAGGATTCTCGTTTGGTGCG